CGACACGAGCCCCACAAGGAGGGACCACACCGCCCTGGGCCAACCCAGTGCCCAGCCCTGAGAATCTCCCGGGTGAACGTTCGCCCACCCAATGGCTGAAGGATGACATGAACGGAGCAGAAGTGAGCCAGCTGAGACCCTGGACCTGAGAAGCCCCACTGAGTGGAAGCACACTGATAGGGGAACAAAAGTTGCAACATGGCTTGATCAGCACAGAGAGGGCGCCGGATCCTGCCCGACAAAATGCAAGGGCAGGAGGAAGGCAGGGGAGGTTGTGACATGTGCCTGGTGGGGAGGCAGCTTCGCTGGGCCCAGGAAAGGCAACACTGAGAACAACTAAAGTCCTGGGGCTCCTTCCGGGGGAGACACAGTAGCAGAGGCAGTGGCTGGGCGTCTGCCTTGTGTCCAGAGGCCAGGGCTTCCCTTGCGGAGGGGCCTGCAGCATTTGGCTACGGGGTCCACGTCCAAGGCACCATGTAACCTGGAGCCACCCAGGGATACCGTGTGCCCTGGCATACGCGACTTGAAGGAGGGGAGGCCCTGTGCAGAAAGTCCCCACGTGAAGGACCATGCTGGTTGATGGAGACGGGATAGGAGCCTGTGAGAGCCAGGTGCTCCTGGTTCAAGTCTGGGCACTCCAGTGGTGGGCCGCTAGGTTCTGGGGAGACCCTCTGGTGGGGGTGGGGGTACAGAATGTCTAGGGGCCGCAGAGGGAGAGCCCTCGGGAACTCCGGCACTCTGAGGAGGCCACGCTTTCTGGAGGTGAGGCAGAGGAGCTGTGGATGAAGGGACTGGGGGGGGGTGATGGGAGCACGGGGGCGTCCCCGACCCCCGCACTCACCCTCCTTGCCCAGCAGGAAGGAGTAGAAGCACAGGTGGTTGACGGTGAGGTAGAGCCAGCCCTGCCGGGGCACGCGGCCCTTCCAGTAGCTGCAGGAGTAGTAGTTGACCAGCTTCTCCCCCTCGGGCATCCCGAACTGCTTCCGCATCTTCACCTCCGCCTCCTTGAATTTCCCGGGGTCCTCGTCTCCCTGCGGCTGCAGGTTCTTGTTCTCTTCCGCAATGATTCCCTGTGGGAGGACAAGGGGACTGATTCCCAGTAGGCCCCAGGGTTCCTTCCCACAGCCCCAGGGAACTCAGGCAGTGCAACCCAGGGTGCTTGCACGCTGGCCCAAGGGCCATGAGCAGGTAGGCCCTGACGCCTGCTCTGGCTGGTGCACGTGGTTGGACAGGTGCCAGGCAGGTTCCCCAACTCCCTGAGCTGTTACCACCACTGGCTAGGAGCAGAGGCTTTTAAATGAACATTTTAATGTACATATCTGAAAAGTATAACATGGTAAAAAAAATGCAAATAGTAGAAAAGTGTTCAGTGAGTTCTCAGTTCAGTGAGAAGGGAACCTCCATCTCCCCTGCAGTTGTAGCCACCTTGCTGGTTTCCTCCCAGACACGCAGGCACTGACGCACCTTTCAGAAAATACACGTGGTCTTCTCTTTCCCTCTCTGTTTACCCAAATGGGACCTTGCTGTGGCACTGTGCTGTGAAGTGCTTTCCTCATGACAAGGTCTTAGGGGAAATTCTCTATTTGACACTACTCCTCCCTCCCATACTCACAAGCCAGCCGCAGGGCCCACCCAGCACGGGGCCCAGAGACCAGCCGCAGGGCCCACCCAGCTCAGGGCATATCTATGCTGTGTTCTGCAAGCATCTGCACTGGGCTCAGGGTGCCCAGAGACATCACCCTGGGCCACAACCCTCCTGGGGTAAAACAGGTTCTTAGTGCACCTGGCAGACTTTCCAGGAGACCGAGACTCAATAAACTAAGGTAATTCAAGGCAGTGTCGTGGTCCAGACACTGCTTCTCCTCAGCCTCCTGGCAGCCTCCAGCCCACAGGTTCTGATACACAGTGGTATTTCCATAAAACGTTCAGTTCTCAATATTTCCTAATTTTCATTTTTCCTTTGAGCCCCCTAGAACTTCGTTCTGTCTTGCCGATTAGCCCGTTTGGGCCTGGCATAAGGGAAACATTCTGCAGCGTAGCTGCCGCAGTTACTAGTGCCCAGCTGGCTCGTTAGGAGAGTGGAGACTTGCCTCTACTCTCTTTGCCTGTCTTCCTGGAGCTAGAAAGGCAACACAGGGCCCCCTGAGCCCTAGGGTGCACAGGGGACTGCTGAGGAGCTCTTGGTGCCATCTGCCCGGGTGTAGGAGGTTCTGGCGTAAAGAAGTCACAAGGGCTTGTCCAAAGCAAGCCTGCACAATACAACTTTGACCCAGTAAGAGCACTGAGCAATCTAGCCTAAGGCAGTAATCCAACAGAAGGAAAGACACACACATGCACTCATACAGACGCTCATCATGTCAGTTATTCCCTAAAGATGAAACAGCCCTCACGCCACTTTTACACACTGCTATAATCTTCATAATTATTTTGGTTGCTGTAAAATATTCCATTAAGTTTACCCAAATCCCCTGAATATAAAGTGCTCAGCACTGTACTCACACAGAAAGTACTGAATAAATGCTATGCAGGCAAGTATGACCACTCGCCTTCTGCAGAGGAGAGGACAGCTGCTTCCCCTCTCAGGGCGGGCCTGGGAGGCACCGCTTCCAGTCCTTCTGCTGACACTGCTGCGGGGAACATCCTGACACATACGTCACTCTGCACTTACACATACACTGCAGGGCAAATTCCAAGGGGTGGAACTGCTGGGTCAAAGAGTCTGTGCAGTTTGAAGTAAATGTGAGTTTTACGGTAGAAATACACCCCCAACTCCCCTGTCGCTTCCCACTTCTTCCCCCGTTAGCCAGGGAACCGGCGTCAGAGCTGTGTATCTGCCCCTTTGCCCTAAGGCCCTTTGCAGGAACTGGAAAGTCCCCGAGAAGCTTAGCCAGACTCCAGTGGCTGGCCGGGAGGTGGACCTAGATGTGGGCAATGAGTCCACTGCCCTTTTCAGTACCAGGACAACGGGATCAGACACTCTGCTTCCACCTGTTTAAGGGGGGAAAGACCTACACCCCGTCACTTGAAGGTTACAGGAGATGACACAGGGGACGCTGCTGGCAGAAGGGAGTGGAACCAGCAGCGGAAAGCGAATCTTACGTGTATCTTGCCCTTGACGAAGGTGGTGATATCTTCCTCATTGTCAAAGATGGACAGTGTCTGGAGTAAGTTATTTTCCAGCCATTCCCAGTGCTTCGTGATCTCTTTGCGGGAAGAACCTAGGGCAAGTTGGGTGGAATAAAGAAAAGGAAAATCATAAAACCACCAGGCCTTCAACATAAACTCGTGACCCGATTTGCTTTACCAAAGAGACTACAATCTTTGAGCTGCTTATCCTTTACTTCTTAAGTTCTATGTATGTGTATATGTATACGTGTATATATAACAAAAGTCGTAAGCGGACCTGGTAAAATAAAAAATTAAAAAGCTCAGATGAAATCACAGAGGCACGAGGGAAAACAAAGCCTCAGTTTCCCTCCAACGCCAAGAGTACGAGGGACCCCTGGTCTCCTACGTGGCCTCCCAGGAACAGTCTACACACCTGCAGGTTTGCTTACTTATTTCTTCTTGAGACAAAAGGAATTAATGTGATCTTCCAAATATAGGGGGTAAACCAGACACAGACCTGACATAAGTGACTGCCGCTCTCCTGTGAACTCAGCCGTCCACAGACAGCACCGGAGCTTCCTGCAGGACTGCAGGCCCCTGGCTGGCTGGGCCCCTACTGGGCAGGCCAGAGGCTCCCTCCTTCCCTCTCAGGGGCCAGATGCCCCACCCAGGCCTTCGCCTGCGGTGCTCCTCCTCCTCATCCGGGTTCACATCCCAGCCCTGACCCCGTCTTCTCCGGGAACCCCTATCTGATCCCTTCCGCTTCCGGCTGGCCCCCAGTGTCTGCGGGGTCACTGTCCTTCTCAGGGAGGGGCCCTTGGGGACACTGCAGGCCCAGTGGAAGTGGAAAAACTCAGAGAAGCAGCCCGATGCTACTCCCAAGAGCGGGGCAGTTATTCACCTCTGCCTCCACCAAGGAATCGGGAAAAGGAGCCCCGGGAGGAGAAGTGAAGGGAGGAGGAAGGCCCTGCGTGGCCTGGGCCCCCCCCACCGCCGCTCCGGCAGCCCACTTCTCAGGGCTTTTCACGTGTCCGGCATGGGGTTTGCGCTTAAGAACTCCGACTGAATTAACACAAGAATAAGAAGGGGAAGGAGTGAAGGCTCTGCCTGCCTCAACACCTTGCGATGGGCAGTCTGTGGGCTGCAGGTCCCAGAAGGCCAGGCGGTTCTGTGACCATGGGAGGGCCCACACACTCAGCAAGGAGGGAGCCTTAGCAGAGACACAAGGCCAGCCCGGCTATGGACCACAGACAATTTTCGCTGGGCGCCTGATCCCTGGGCACCCTAACCTTCCCTACTTGGCTACAACTCTCCCACCAGCTGAAGACGCTGACTCTGCCCTGGCCAGGCGAGTCGTCCCGTCATCTCCTCCAGCCCAGGCACCTGCTCACTGCTCTGTCACATGTCACGGTCCAGCCGGTCTCAGTTAGGGTTGATCTGTAGGTTTCTTTACATTTACCCAAGCAACTCACCATCCTAACAAGCAATTCCATGGAAAGACCCTCCCTTCTGGGCCTATGTGAGGGGGCCCATGTGAACATGATTAAACCTGGAATCCTACAACTACACAGTGATAATCATAACAGATAATCATAAATTACCCCTGGAAGTTGCTAAATCATCCATGTTTTTTCATTTTCTTTGCATATATATATATTATGGCCTCTTTTCTCTGGTGTATGGAGGCCATGGTCTAGTTGGTAGGGAAGAGATTTTCTTCTCCCTCTCCTGCTCTTTTTGCCAAGAAGTCACATTTGGATCCAGAAGTTGAATTTGCATGTGATGCAATTCCACTGTATCATTTCCTCTTACCCCCATGTTCCTGGCAGCCTGAAACAGAGGGATCTTGTCCACTATGCCTGTGTGGACCTGTCTGTCCTTTAATTATAAGTATTTACTTATATTCACTTTAAAAATTATTACTTATAAGCAACTCAATCTTCATTTCGTACTAAGTAAACCCTTAAACTATGTCATCTCTATGGTAGGTACTGGGAATAAAAATAGAACAGCTAATTAAATTATTAGTGCTATTTCTGTTTTCCAGAACTCTTCATGGAGTATTTTATTTGATTCTTAGAGCACCTTAGAGGCAACGCTATTTTCATTTTATAGGATGAAGCTGAGGCACAGAGAGGTTAAGTAAGTTGCCCGAGGTCACCAAGCCGGGAAGTGACCAAACCATAACGTTTGTCCAGGCTCCCAGGCTGCAGAGCTCACCCACGCCCTCAGGGGGTGGCTGATCTAGTGGGAGAGCCAGCAAGCCCAGTGTGAAGGTGCCAGTGGAGACATGGCAAGTCCCGTGGGGCGAGAGAGGTAGGCATGTGGGTCTGGGGAATCATTACCTCTTCTCAGGTCTCCAAGGAAAGCCATTATCCTGAGGGACAGTGACCCTGTGGCTTCTACACAGAGATGTATTCAGTACAGTGGACATGAATGGGCGCTCTGGGTCTGGCCTGCAGTTCTGTGTGACTTTGGGCAGGTTACTTAACCCCTCTGGGCTTCCTCATCTTCAAAATAGGGAAAGCTGAAGTTCCACCTTTTGGAGTTTACGGGAGTTTCACGCGTCCGGCCCGCAGGGAGTGCTGTCCGAGCGCCGGCCGCGACTGCTGCTCTACCCCGGGGACCCAGCCAGGTTGGCGCCCCTGAAAGGCAACTTCCCCCTGGACTCCGGGGGGTAGTGGTGGGGGTGTGTGTCCTCCTAGGGGGACAACTACAGCTGATTCTCGGCATTCATGGTGGTGATGTTCTGCAAAGTCTCCCAACACCGAACCCGCCAGCACTGCTCCCGGGGGAGCTGCAGGGCTGAGTTCCTGTGAGCCTCTGATCCCAGAGTTTTTGTCAGCCCATCAGTGCACCATTCTGTCTTGTGTGTCCTTCTGTTTAAAGGCACCTTATTTAATTAATATGTGTTCCTTTCTTTTTCCTTTTGTGGTTTGATTTTAACACCCTGGCACTGAACTCATGGCAAGCAGCACTGTAACTCACAACTGAAGGAAGCTCCTCTTACCCATGTTTCCTCCATAAGACACATCACAGCTTCTCCAGCTTAAAAGCACCCCACAGCACTTCAGCGCTATGCTTGGGGCCACTGTAAACAGCAGAGTTGCCAATAAAAAACACAACAGTGAAAACCATGGCACTCAGACCTCACAGAGAAGCTTGCTTGTGGTTTGAGAGCTGAAACAAGGAGGCAGGAAGATGCCTCAGCCGGGAATGTGTGTGTCTGTGACTCAAAATTTTCACAGCTCTGCACCTGCGCATTCCCACAAACGTCCATGAATGACCCCCAAAGCACCACAAGTGTTGATCTGGGGGTTTACAGTTCACTTTCAGCGAGTAGGTAAATTCAAAAATATGTCGTCCATGAATACCGGTAGATCGTCCATCTCGAGAAAAGGTTAGCAGGAACATGTGGACAGGGCGCGAGGCCAAGCCCTCAGAGAGGCGCAGGGCTGTGTGGGGCCCACCTCCGCCTGCCCTGCACCTGCGTCCAGCTGAGCTGCCTTCCTCGGCTGCAGCCTGGCCTGGGCTGTGCTGTCGGATGAGGGGCCGCGTCAGGTTCTCGGGAGGCCATGTCCAGCCCAGCCCAGGGGTGCAGGCTGTGTCCCTTCCCTTCCTGGGGCAAGCCCCGTCCGACAGCCCTTGTGACTCAGGGCACCTACCACACGCCACTGTCCAGTAGACCTGGGAGTCCTGGGTCTGGTGCAGGATGCGGTAAGGGGCCACCCGGGCGCTGGAGTCCAGCACCACATCCAGGGTGCCCACGAGAAGACCTGGCAACAGGACAGAGAGAGGGGAGGGTGAGGGAGGGCTGCGCCTGGCCGGGGCAGCGCCTTCAGCGCCCTCACCCAGAGGGCGAAATATCTTGCATCACCCTGGTCCATTAAATTACTTCTTTTTCCTTAAAGGCCTTTAGTCGGTGTCTGGTCCCTCCTGAAAAATCCCCTCCCACTTCTTCCTAGAAGCTTCTGCTTCTGCTCCTGACTCAGTAACACTCGAAGGTGGGGACAGATGCAGGTTTTATGGGGCCCAGAACATACACAGTCCCGAAGGCCCTCTCCAAGAAAAATGCAACATCAAGTTTGAAAACCAGTATTTCTTTAGGATGAGAAAGTACAACAGTTACAAGTGGAAAACAAAACGACATTACCACAAATATCACAAAAATCCAGAAAAATAACACAATGCATTTTATTAGCTGCCAAACTCATCTCTTAAGATGTGTGTTCTCTGACATTTTGGGCCTGTTTGGCCGTGTACTCTGATGGTTTTTTCATTAAGACGATGATTTTGTAACATGGTTTCCCACATCAACAGCAGGAAGATAATGTAGCCTCAAAGGTCAACTGAAAAGGACATGCAAATTTTTATAACTGTCCAATTTAGGAAAACACTGATCCAGTTTTTTTTTCCATTTCTGAACTGAAGCACCTTATGACATTTCATATTTTCCTTCTCATCACATACATCCTTGTCAGTATCACTATGTCCCCAACGAATTGGAGGAAATGTTTACCTTTCACCACTGTCTGATTCACTCCTCTTCATTAACTGAATTATCAAGCTACAGAAAAGCCTGCTCATTGTTCCTATTTGAAACTTATCTTTTTCTTTTAATGAAGTGCTGCTTTTGGTATGATCTGAAGATATTTTGTTTCCATTTTCCTGTTGATATCAGAATAATTCCTATCGATTTTATTGCTTGGCCTTAACACTTTTCTTTCATATTCCATTTTTAATCTAATTTTCCCCCGCTAGCTTTTAATAAATAAAATTACTAGTTGCAAAAGAAGGTACTCTTCACATACATTCAAGTCAGGAACCTGTAATCTCCCACTGGTACTGACGTGTTCTAAATGTCCTCTAAATTGCAGTTAAAGGGGCACATTCAAGCCTTATCAGTGTTTGGAATAAACTTTTTACTGTCCGTGTTGAGATTTCTCTTCCAGTCTCAGAAATTTTATTTTAATTCCTATATTGTTGGCATATCCATGTTGCAAGACCTGAAAGCTTTTTCATAGGCAAGCCATCTCATCACACTCAGAGTCTTCAATGAAAAATCTAAGCTGGCACCTGTGTTCTGACACAACGGATGCTGGTGCCACCAAGGGTACCGGGTGCCCATGCCTCGCGTTCCTACACTGGCTCAGAGTAGCTTCCCAGGCTGACCACTAGCCATTCTCTCCAGAGGGGCTGCTGTCTGACCCCCACTCAACAGCCTAGCTGAGGAGGCAGATCCAGCACTGGCTCCTGCGATTCTAGAGGGAGGGAGCCCGAGGCACTGAAGGGAACAGTCTTCCTGGGAACCGCACAGCCTCTTACACGTCAGGAGAGGCTGGCGGTCTCCCAGGCGAAGCCTCCGTCTGCATCTGGTAGGACTGTATTAGCTGCTAATGTTTAAAATTAGGACATGTCACAGAAAATTCTCTTGATAATTGGAAGACCTGGCAACTCTGGGCCTAAGGTTCTAAATGGCAACAACGGGCCAGTGTAGGAGCACAGGCACTGGTCTGGCCCTAAGACTGACCCAGCTCTGCTCGGCCAGTGCCTGGGGCAGGTCCTGGACGCGCCCTGGGCAACACCTGTAAAGGGAATGCCCGGTGGACATCCCTGGACCCCACATGTCACACACTCCAGGAGATGCCTGTCCTGTCTAGTCCTGTGTGGTGCCCAGACGGGCAAAGGGGCACCTTGGCTAGTTCACGAGAACACAGATACTGGTAATTCGGCCAAGCCTCGGCCTGCAGCCCCAATGCACCAGGAAGCAGGAAAGGTGCAGGGACGGTTGCTGAGGCCAGCAGCGGCTTGGAGGAACTCTGATCTTGCTAAAACGGCAACTGCTGGGTGACTGGAAACGAAGGACACAAAAGGAAACAAATGCTTCTTTCACTTGTCCCCTCGGAGGCACTTGGGGAGACTGAGGCAGAGGACTGGGAGATCTCGCGGACTTTTCGCTGTGAAATCTCATTTTGGGAAGCTGCACACGCCCCCGCCGAGCACGAGAAAGCTCTCGGGCCTGAGTCCGGGCAGGGGCCGCTGCCAGCCGTCTCCCGCCCTGGCTGACCGATCGCAGGCTCCCCAACAGCCTGCGAACGCGGGCGCGTCTGTCCTCCCGGGCTCCCCGGCCCGCTGTCACCCCGCGCCTCCCCACCCGGCCCCGGCCTCGCGCCCCCAGGGCCCCGCCGCGCGCGCTGACGTGCGCGTCCGCAGCGCCGCTCCGAGGCCCGGCGCGTCCCGGGCGGGTCGAACCGGCCCCCGCCGCCCCGAGCGCCCTCCTCGCCTCTTACCAGTGAGGCCGCCGCCCTTCCCGTGGCCCCGGCGCCGCTGCAGCACGAAGAAGGGGTTGGCCCGCTCCGTCACCCACAGCGCGTTGGCCACCAGCACCTCCTCCGGGCCCAGCCACATCGTGGGGCCGCGCGCACCGGGCCGAGGCCCGCCAGGCGGAAGCCCGCCGCCGTCGCCGCGCTGAG